TGGAAAATCTATTTAATTGACTGGACCACTTACATTCTACAAAAAGGGCTTCAGAGGATCTGGATGAAAGATCAATTTATTAATCACGTATTAATGATTGCCAATCATTAATAATATTCTTAATACATGCATTCAACGGCATTATTACCAAACCCAAAATATAAATATAGAGACATTTTTTTATAAGAAAGTGGCTCCAAAAATTTAAACAAAAAGACTGCAATGACTTTCGAGAAAATCCATAGCTGTACTGTATAACAGAAAATAAATGAGAGCAGTACACAGGAGCTGCAGAAAGGAAAGAGATGGAGAAGGCTAGAGAGAGCAAAGAGAGGGAACAGATGCTGAGAACGTGGTCTGATCGATAAAAGCGATGGAGTTACTCCTCTGCACTCTCGGGTTTCTATGGTTGACCTCTATGAGTGCTGATCACATTCTGCCGCAGAACAGGCACACACACACACAAAAACACAGGCATGCACACACATGCGCCCTGTAGAAATTCACAAACATGCATCCACATTCAGGGGTTCAATGTGTTCAGTGTTCAGTGGAGCACGTGGGCAGAAAAAGGAGATGGGTCATGTTAGGTAGGAACCGTGCCAGAGGTCTCAAGGAGAATCGTAAGGAATCACAAGTGTTGAAAGTGATCAACAAAACAGGACTGACAGCATTCTGCAATAAACTTCAGGTTTGTTGTGTCAACATGAATAGTGTAAAGATTGTTGGAAGCACTTGGTTTTGTTGGGCAGGTCTTGGCAGCAGTCACGGCTGAGCTCAGGTGTAATGACATGTAATAAAAAAAAACTACTTGGCTTGTGTTGGAAGGCCCTCCTTTCCTTTCTGCTTAACTCCAAAGTCGGCTTTTAAAGTATATGGTGTTGAAACAGCAGCAACACCTGTTTACGTCTGTTTCAATGCGGTTGGAATGACGAGTTAAACTGAGGTGTGGCTGCTACCCCACACATACACACAAACACTTACTTTAAACACAAATCACACACACACACACTCACACTGTATGCATATAAATGATGCAAGGGTGCAGAGGCAAGAGTTCTGTCTGTATAATTACTCGTCTAAGTACAAATGTGCCCGGATTTCCAGTCACAAGTTAATCATTAACAGACAAAGCTGTGAGGAAAATTCCAGTAATTTTACTAACAGCCAAATAATGCTAACAATAAATACAATAAATGGTTTGTTGACAGTTGACTGAACCTGTAACATTTTTGTTCACTGACACAGATCCTCCAAATTCACACATTTTAAAATTCCATATGAAAGCAATGTGAGGTTTGAGTGTGTTCTGATCAGGGAGTATTATAGAGGATTTCAAGAGTTGAACATATTATTGTCTTCCTGATAAGGCACATATAGCATACAATTAACAGTAGAGAAAAACATGTCATATAATATTATTGCTGTCCAGTAAAAAACTCCACAATATCAACTCCTTGTTCTTAGTTTTGTGGCAGTTCTACAGATTATTCAATTAGGGTTAAAAGAACACAATCATTTTAGCTTAAAACCATAATAATCTCCAAATAAGATTTAGATAGTAGCTCATGACTTTAGGGTACAGTGTAAGGGAATCATTGCTGAGTTGATCATTAAAATGTCTTAACGTGATAACTCTGACTGAGAGCAGCGGCCTATTAACCACTGAGCTTTCTGCACAGTCGAAACAAGCTGAGCTCAGCAGGAGGAGGTCACTCCCCTCTGAAGCCAGACTATCCACTGTGAGAGGCTGAGCTAGTGGCTCAGTAAAGGCACTTAGGGCCCTGTTTTAACTGTTAATCATAGAGGGAGTGAGGGAGGGAGAGCACAGTAATGATGCAGAGATTTAGAGAGCAAAGGGGAGGATGGATGGGTGGATGGATGGATGAGATAAATGGTTGATGAACTAAAAGAATAAAAGATATAACCAGGAAGGTTAGACAACAATGACGTTGTGTTTACCATCAATGGAGGGCCTGGGGGTGGAAAATGAAAAAGAGGGAACAGGAGAAAAAAAAGTCCTGTTCTAATGATCATGAAACTGATTGACAGAAAGGAAGTGCCTGATAGGAGGGAGCAAAAGTGTAGCCAGCGGTAAAATGGATAGAGAGAGGACTGAAGGATAAAGAGATGTGGAGGGGGCATTTGTGCTGGACAAAGAAGATTTCTGTCAATGAATGGTGTCTGGTTTCGAGCGTGTGTGTGTGTGTGTGTGTGTTGATGGGGAGCAAAAACAGTCGGGTCGAGAAAGACAGACAGGCCATGCTGGTGATGGTGGTGTGTATGTATGTATCTAATAAAGAGAATGGGAAGGAATCTGATATGCTGCAGTGCATCATCAGAAGCCTGTTTGTACTCGTTTCTTAGGCACTTAATTCACAGATATCAGCCCAATATATTGGTATTTTTAACCAAGACTACACAACCCGTTTAGCATTGTACTTCTGATGGATAGTTTAAGAAAAATTATAAGTTAATGCAGCACAATCTGAGATACTGTCTTTGTTATTTCACACATTCCTCTTCCTTGTCAAAACTTTTTTGGTTGGATAATCGGGTGTGATAAGCTAGTAGCGGCTAATGTAGCTTTGAGCTGCTAACCTCCGGCAGATATTGTACGAGGAGTGGGCTAGAGAGGTCTGGTAATCTCACTTCTTACTAAACCCCTTGGATTTTTTCCATTTTCCAAATTTAACTGCAACCGAGGCTGACCCAAGTGACATCACTTGAGGCAATTTATCAGGTATCATGCAGCTCCTCTGGATCCAGATGCCTTTGTATGACCTATATAAACAAACAAAACCATCAGCGAAAAGATTGGCTAGTTATAATTATTCATAATGCCTGCCACTGGGACTGATTCCCATGAATCAGACAAAATAATGCATTGGAAACATTTTTGTCTATAGGAGCTGTAGAATTCCCCTATATAAATTCCCCCTCTAACAGAAGTCAGTACAGGTAGGAGGGCGAAGGTATGAAGAGAGGAGTGTGGTTTGGCAACCTGTAAGTAAGTTGTGCTGTGCTGAGTGAGCTGAAGGCACCTGGAAGTCACTAAACAAGAGCACACGGCTCATTGAACCCAGCAAGAGGAGGCTTCTCTGACCTGGCAGTCAAAGTATAAAGCTTGTTAAGAATTAATGCTAACAAATTAGCAACAATAAGACAATCAGGTAGTTATGACAGTGAATGCTTACCACTTAAAAATACCGCACAAAAAACAAATGTATTTGCCACGTGTCACATGTCAAAGAAAACTGGCACAGGGAAGAAGCTAACCCTGCAGGGCAACATCTTTCCTGTTAGGCTCCAGAGTAATATTACACAAACATTGCAGTAAGACTTATTTTTAGTGAAAAAATCAATGGCTTTACAGGGCAAGGATTAAGAATGATGGACATCCAGCATAATACATTAATAGGATGTGCAGTGTATTGGTGTTGCCATAAAGTACTTATCACATCCTCAAAATTCCTCCAGCTAAAAGCCCCACAGCAGCTCATGCATCCATCTAAATAAGCTTTCATTAAAAATGTTTTCGCCTCGCATTCAGTTTCCCTCCTGAGGTATTTAGAGCCCTTGGAAGCCAACAGGATGATTTCCTGTTGATGATGTGAGTAACTGTAAGTAAGTGACAGGCGAGGGTAGGTTTCCACATCCGCGGTGAGGAGTGAACATCTCTGTTTAGCGTTAATGGTTCGAGGAAAGTGGGCAGGACTGGATGGACAAACTTGCTCTTTCCCTCGTTAATGGCTCCCTGGGGAGGAGGGGAAATGACCGAGTGATGGGGGATGTAATGTTTGTGTGGGTGTGTGGGTGTGCTTGTTGATTTGTGTTTGCAGCAGGAGAGACATTTATGTTTGTATTGGCTATGGCAGATTTAAGCGAAAACGTCATAGGGGGTTTAAGATAGATGATCAGTCTTGGTGTCATATTTGTAGCCATATTTAAATCCTGCATAGCATTTTCTAATCATATCTTCACACTCAAAATAACCTGATCTGCAGGGTATCGAAGAGCTCTCCATCTGCTGCGACTGATGGTGGGGCAACCTTTGGCCTGGAGCAGTTTATCTCCAACTGATGCTATTTTAAAGTCCTTGAGTAAAAAATCTGCTTTAATTCAATTAGATATGACGTTTCTTCTTGAAATGTGATTGTTAGACTGATGCTGCTGTGGTGAGTGTGTTTGGATGTTAAGAGAGTACTCCACAAATGTAGTATTGCACTCCCATAACATTACCGGGCTCACAATGGACAGTTTTAAACATGATTGGTGATTCAGGTGTGTAAGCTGCTAATGTAGCCTCAGACCTCTAGCCTTAAACAGGGATGAGGAGTAGGTTTAAAGCTGCACTTATCAGTAATTTCATACTAACAATTGATTAATTGAATAAAGAAAAGAAATGTGAAAGACATATATATATATATATATATATATATATAATATATAATATATTATAGTGACGAAACCAGAGAAAATGATCACTTAACTCGTCAGTTCCCCAGTTCCAACAGCTCGGACAAGCTTTTTAGCTTCTTTCAGCTCATTTATTTACAACAACTTTACTGTTTTGGTTCATTCTTACAGCTCTCATCAGTGTCGGCTTGCAACTTGAAACTCGCTGTACTCAGTGCTCAACACCAAAGTGAAGGCAAAATTAGCGACTAGCTTGTGTGGAGCATTTAGCAGCTAAAGCACCAGATATTTCCCTCAGGAGATGGTAGAGACCAAAAACATAGCTAAAAAGAGAGTGAATACTGGGCTTACATTTGTCTCATGGCCAGAAACACGACTCCAAATAAATACTACTGATGTTCCATGACTGTTGAATGTGTAAATAGATGACTGTTTGCTAACATATGTCAGTGACGTGTTTACAGCTTGTTTCCACTGCCTCCAACTGACTAAAACTGACCCTTTAATATCTTCAGTGTAGAGTAAATGCATGTTCCAGGAAGCTCATGTAATTTCTCTCCTTGCCTGTTTATCCTTCACAGTTACCTACACTCCAGTGACTCCCACGAATTCCTCCATGGACCCCGATGAGTTAGCTTTTGATGAGAGCACCCCACCAGAGGGCTTGACAGAGAGCACCACCACCACCACCACCACTAATGGTGATTCCCAGGAGCGGCTCTACGATGGTCTGAACGACAAACTCATACCCATCTACTGCTCCATCCTGGCAGCAGTAGTGGTTGGCCTTGTGGCCTTCATCATCTTCAAGAGGTGAGGACTTAAATCAAATTTAAAGGAGACACTACAAAAAGTTATTATAATGATTATTAATGATTTTTTAAAATGTGGAATTCAATGGCTAAGGGGGGAGAGAGGTCTGATGCTAATTACAAAGGCATGTGGACAACAAAATCCAGTCAGATTTAAAATTTCCGCATTTTAATATTTAATAATACATATGCTTCTTCTCTGGATGAGAGCATACTGTTGTCCTGTGGGCCACAATATGGTCTGTTTACTCTCTTCTCTTATATTTGAAACCCATGCTGCTCTCTTAATGACTACACGGACAGCCCGCTGTTAACTGTTAAATTTTGAATGTACAATATGTTCATGTTGTATGGCAAGGAAAATGTTGCAAGTCTGTACATTCAAACAAACAGTTAACTGCAGCTGCCTTGTTGAATAATAGAGGATGTGTTACCTACCAGTGACCACTCTCATTTGATTATTAATAATTTGTTAGAATTTCTTATTCCACACGTGGCTAATAGTCTTTTAAAGTCATTGTGGGTGGATGTTGGATAATGTTTTTTTAAAAATCATCTTGTTTTAACTAGTCGGCACAAATTCTAATTGATCACATGTTTTGCTGCACTACAAACATGTGCCATAGTTAGAATTGATTCTTTTTGTATGCTCAATTAAAAGTGTCTAGCTTCAGGGTTTGGAATTTTGTAAAAAAACAGTCCTTCAAAATGACCATATATGTGGTCCAGTATGTAGAGTTTATTTACGGAAAGGGAATATAATATTCATAGATATGTTTTCCTTTGTGTAGAATCACCAAAGAATAAGAATAATTCTGTTTTTGTTACTTTAGAATGAGCCGTTTTTTTATCTACAGACATAACAGGCTGCCTTCCGTGGAGGCCTTAGTTTCTCCCTTGCGCCTGGAAAGGGAGGGTGAAGCGAATCTTCAACTACTCCAGTAGATGCCATCAAATCCTACACACTGGACCTTTAAAGCAGTGTAAATAATCAATATATTAACAATGGATCAAATTAAGTAATAAAAAAGCTATTAAAAAATCCCCCATAGTACACTATTCTACCCAGTGCCAAACAGCAAATAAAAAAAGTTAGCGACTAGCTGGTGAACACAGTGGAGCTTTAAGCTTATGAATTATGTATTATTATCATTGATACTAAAGATTTCTAGAAACACAAAATGTACATACAATATTGGCAATTTTCTGCTTTTTTGCTTATTGGATTTTTTTCTTCTTTTATGACTCATTTTCATTCAGGTGGAACAGCTGTAAGCAGAACAAGCAAGGGGCCAACAACTGCACAGCCAATCAGAACCAGACTCCATCACCTGAGGGAGAGAAGCTGCACAGTGACAGCGGCATTTCTGTGGACAGCCGAAGTCTGCAGGAGCAGCTGGCCCAGGCACAGACAGGTAACAGACGAATACCTGTACCTAAACAGAGGCCACTCCCTTAACTCCAAGAAATACAATAACCCTCATTTATCAATGTATTGCACTTAAATTGGGCGTAAGCAAATTTCAACACAAAAGTCTGTGTTTATTTGGTGCTGAATTCCTCTGGTAATGAGTTTCTTTTAATCCACAAGTAAGACTGAAGGAATTTAGTCTCACTGTGAATGTACACAGACTGTACCCTGAACTGTCCCACCACGAAAGTAAAGGAAATCCACCTCAGGAATGCGCCTTCTGGTGGCTTCATCAACTCCACCTTCAATATGACCTTTCAAACTTACTGTAGCAAATCAGCAAACAGGGTTACAACACTGACAGAGCTACCGTGTTTGTTTTTTTGGCAGCACGTGCTCCTGGCAGCTTTTAGTCTTGCCCTGACAAACCTGTTTGAGCGACTACAGGTCTTTTAAAACCACATGCTTTCCCAGATAATTGTAAAGGAAGAATGTAAAGTGGTGCAAGCAAAAGAACACAGTATTCAGCAGCTCTCTGTCTAGGTCTGAACCTTAAAGTGATTACATGTGGGATGTGTGGAGGAATTTTGGCAGTTTGGGCAAAGAAGCATCTTTTTCTTTGATTTTCTGGTTAGCTATTGCAGGTACACAGTGCTTTTTTATTCACTACAAACAAACCATTTTGGCTGCTGTAGGAAATTAACACTCTATTACTTCCTTTTACAAGTAAATACACCCAATTGCAAAGCTCATGAACAGGATAAATGTTATTATACATAAGAAATTAACCACAGCTAAATCACACCTAAAATTGAATAATATAATTCAGATAATGAAATGACATTAACTTCTTTCCCCTCTGCAGTTGTCACCATGGATGAGGAGCCTTGTTTGCTCCTTCCTCTCCACACCAGAGAGAAAGTGGAGAAGCTGCTGTTCAGGGGCAGTGAAGGAGACGACTGCAACCACATGGACGACAGTGACTGGTGCAACCTGGCGGGCCTCCTGGGATACGAGGAGGAGCGGATTGCGACCTTCCGGCAGGAAGAGCATCCTGTCCGCGCGCTCCTGTCTGACTGGGCAAGCAAGGACTGTGCCAGCATCGACGCGCTGTGCACGGCGCTGCGCAAGATCAACCGTGACGACATCGCCCAGAGTCTGGTGTTAAGCCCAAGTGCTCCAAAGCCGACCGCCACTTCTGTAGTGTGATATAAGCTTAACAGCGAGAAAACCACCTGAACCTTAACCTTAATATTCTTCCATGGCCTCCCTCACTCCACACAATTCATGCTACAGCAGCTTTTTCCAAATGAAGCCAGCAGTCACAGTGATAATTAAATTTCATGAACCCTAAAGAATTATTTCCATGTTTAATCAAGGGATAAGGCAGGAAGATGCCAGAAATCAAACAAATACTGAATTAAAGTACTTAATCAAATCAGTTCCCTTTACTTAATCAGGATATGCTCATAATCAAAAGGTTAAAATCCTTACATTGTAACGCCTATGTGGAGGGAAATAGTCTGTAATCATTCCATTTTGAGCCTGGATATGCATCTGCCTTTCCACACTATCTGATATCCAGCTTACCATCTTCTGACTTTATTAGCCACCATGGAGCAGCAGGGCGCTTTGAACTGAATCTACTGTGGATAGCTGGCTCTCTCACTCCTACAACTTGATCTTTTGAATCTTTATTCTTAAACACACATAGTCAGCGTGTCCCTTACTTATACCGTTCATAAGTCAGTGCTGTATCTCTGTTTGTTGCTTTACAAATCTATGCTACCAAAGAGGAGTAAACGTCTTGAGACCATACCTGACAAGTGACATTATTTACATGCCATGTTAGATTTCTGGGGATTTAAGTTGTCAAATGGCTTGTGTCTCAATGAGGCCTGCATACCACAGTGTATCTGGATTATGCAAATATGACAACCCGAAGAAAGATGCTTGGACGCATTTCAAATGAACCTGTTCTCTTTCAGCAAAAACGAAAGCTAAGTCAAGCTATTTACTCTTATTTTAATTACTTGTATTAGATTTATTACATTGAGCTGCAGTACATGTGGAATTAATCTCAACTTCAGCTTTTTGAGTGATTTCTGCAGACTCTTTCTTTTCCGACAAGTGCTATGAGAACTGCCGGCTGGACTCTGGAGAAGGTCATTGACTGTGGCAACATGAGACACTATTCTATGTGCTCAGGCCTATCTGCATAACACAGGAGCTCCCACACAAACTCCTTCATACTGACCCAGAAAATTGAAGGACGTGGAACTCAAGTCACCCAGCAATGACTATGTATACTCTATAGACACTGCATACACTAAATAGAGACATACTGTACATACATACACACGTAGACGTTCAGTATGTAACCATGCATGCATGTACTACACACATACACACACTGATCATGTATACATTTACATTCTTATTCATTGTAGGAGACAGAAAACTTCAGATCCTGCCATATACTGTGTGGAACACTCTCATGAGGGGACCATATATTGTTTAATCTCATTATTAATAGCCAGTATAAGGTCAAATTAAAATCCATATAATTTGAAATGTGTGCTATAGATAATGAAATACAACCTTAACAGTAAACAGCATGCAGAAACTAGCAACTCATTGTCAACCAGTGCACAAATTCCAAGAAAAAGAACATGCTCATACAGAATAATCAGGATGCAAAACAAAAATCCAGGGTTTTCTATTCGTTTTTGCTTAATTTCTCAGGTTATCTTAAATGATTATGTTACTAAATCAATATTACACTTATTATTGCACCCTGTATAATTGAACTGAGCAAGGTGTAGTTGTTCAAGAGGAGACACTGTTTATCCAAATCAGTGATTTTAGAAATCAGAGCGACTGACAATCCTTCAAACAGGTGAATAAAAGAGGGAAACGGGCCAGAGAAACAGAAAAAAGGGTGTCTTGTTTCCTTATTGTTTGCAACAATGACCTCTGGATAAAAGGCAAGTCAGTCGAGACATAAGTCAAAGGATATGGGATTGATTCAGACCAAGGGAAAGCAGAAAAAAGTTTTGGATTACTTCAATGTAAAGGTGAAACCCAGGAATCTGCAATTGCATTAATAAGCTTGTTTAAGTAAAATCATGCATTCCTCTCCTCGTGCCGGTATGTGCTTTTTACATTGTGTTGTGTTACACCTATTTGGTTTGAATTTTGTCACAGCATACTTCGAAAATGCTGCCAACTGAGGACCCCTAGCACCTATTTGTTTTCCTTCCGTTTGTTCACTGTCTGTCTGTTTGGGGGGGAAATATTTGAAGGAGCAAATAGTTTACTATACTAATCTTACTTATATCACCAACTTCATTTGTTACTCTTGATTGTACATTGATACTAACCGCTAGCATACTGAGCTTCATGCTGTAGTGTTTACTTTAAATGAAGGTATTCTCACTCACACTCTGTAAGGGTTGTTGTATTTTAATTCCAAAATAACAACTGTAAATGGTATTATAATTCTCTTATTGTCCTGGATTCTAGCACTTAAATGTGTAATTATGTATGTCTGTTTTGCATCACAAGTGCCTGGGAACTATTTCAGGTGTCCACTGATGTTGTACATTTTTGTTTTTAGCTGTTTTTGTAAGTATATCTCCTTTAGTTGTTGTTGTTTTTTTTACTTGTAAATAATTTGTCTTTTTCTAGCTTTTATTTTAGTTAAAGCCTAGAAGGCGCTACTGTGCAATGTCTATATGAATGAGACATTGTTATAATATCAATGCTGTCCTAGTTTAAAAGGGTAAGAAGGGCAAAGGGAAGGGAGTGCCTTTGTGAGGTACTTGGTGCAATTAACAAATTAATCACCATTATGTGTATTATTGTAGTGCATCGTTAAGACTGGACATGAGTGAGGAACCAAAAAAATGTAAATACTTTTAAGGCTAATCAGAACTGGAATGGCTCTGATGGGCCATTTGGAAAATAACCACCTGCCACCAAACCCGGGTCAGAAATATAATGTAACATTATTATACACTGATTTGAGTGCCCTGTGCTGTTATTCAATCTCTTATTAGTATTCGACATTTTGGGAAATACACTTATTCGCTTTCTTAACGAGAGTTAGATGACAAGAGCAATACCACTCTCATATGTGTATGTTCAGTAGAAAGCTACAGCCAGCAGCCGGTTAGCTTAGCTTAGCATAAAGACTAGAAACATAGGAAAACAGCTATCTTGACTTTGTCCAAAGGTAGCAAAATCTGCTTACCAGCACCACTAAAACGTACAAATTAGCTTATTATAGCTGGTTTGTTTAATCTGTAAGCGTTGTGGTGTTACCAGACTATTTATGCCTCCAATAACATAAATAGTCTGGTGCTGGTAAACAGATTTTGTTTAGTTTAGACAGAGGCAGGCTAGCTGTGTCCTCCTGTTTCCAGACTTAATGCTAAGCTAACTGGTTGCTGGCTGTATATTTATCAGATAGATATAAGAGTGGTATTGATCTTTTTCTTTAGCCGACTGCAAAAAAGTCAACAAGCTTACTTCCCAAATTGTCAAACTATTGCTTTAAATTAAAAGCCCAATATAAGCAGAAAAGCTTAAAGCAATTTGCAACAGTTAATAGGTATGTCGCTTAGTATTATACTCTGTCACATCGATATAGACATACGTATATAAGTGTCCATAGCATACAACTTGCTTCATAATATTTTCCCCTGACACTTGAACTCAGTGTCGCACGTTGAGTCATAAATTTAATAAGAGATCCAAGTTCCCAATGGTGCTGAATATGTGAAGATTTTGCAGCAGCAGGATTTAAGATTTAAGTCACTAATCTGTGAGGTTACGTTCTTTAGGCTGGACCTGATCTGCTTTTTTGATTACATACAGACTAATTGGAAAGTTATACAAAATAGTCGTCTAAATATGGATTGACAAAACTTGGGCCTCATCTCCATTTTGGATTGTGAAACTTAAGAAAATGATTTAGTTTTTTATAGATGTGTTCATGATTAGCCATTACTTCAGAATTACCTTCCCTGAAAGCCCTTTGTTCATTACTATAGTTTAGTTATCGCTATGTTCAGAGTTTGTCCACCTGTCAGTAACTGTGACTGATGATGGAGACTCTTTCCTTGGACAGTATTTGTTTAGTTTTATAGATATGAGAGATTAAATGGTGACCAGACTTTGAATTGCTTGTACAGTAAACCCAACTGAAGGTGAACATGTCATGACATTGCACTTGAGAGTAACAAACTAGTCATGCATATGGGGGGAGGGGAGGGGATAAGGTTTGAATAAAAGTCCTGGTAATGTAGCTCATACTAACGAGACTGACGGCGCACCAGGACTGAAATGTACAGATCTGAGAATTGTTGAATGTTCCTTGTGTACTAATACATGTACTGTACTATACTTAATGTGAATTTGCAAAATTCCTACATCAGACAAGCAGTAAAACCAATAATAAAGTTCAAGTCCTCTCATCTTCTGTATTGATACAACAATGCACACACAAACCTAAGAGTGCATGTGCGCTCAGTCTTAACATACACACACACACACATACACACACACACTAGTATGGAAGCCCAAAGTGTTCAATACTAAATAAATAATATGGTAAATATATATTTAAATACAGTATATAAAACAAATAATACATTATAAAATTATTCAAACTCAACTAATCATGCTTAGTTTCAGTTTTACTGGAGTTAATTTTTACTTCATACTTTGTATTTGAAAATATCACTTTTTACAATGTCACTTTTTATTATAATGTTATTCTACTTGACAGTGGTGTTGTCACCCGTCGCTACCCTCTTGCTTTTCAACAACTGCTAGTTAATTCCTGTTAGCTAGAACAATGTCAAAATAATTCTGAATCAACAAGCTGTAAACCTAGTCAAGGTTGTGAGGTTGGATTATTACTACTCAAAGGAGTAAGGAAAAAGCAAGTATTTGCAGTTTTAGGTAGATCCTGTAAGCTAGAGTGACCACAGAGAAAGTCTAGCAAGCTACGGCAGCATGTGTACCCTTGCTAAGCTAAATAAAAGGTGCAGTGTATTTATTTACAGCAGAAGTGTCTAGATTCAGAATTACTTTGACATTGCTGGTCTAGCATATAAGAGATACAAGAGACATAATGAAAAGTGACAAGTGAAATCACAAATTTGAATGGGATGATGAAATCAAATTTCAGAATAATACGGTAAGTTTTAATAATTTCTTAAATGTTTTTAAATGTATATATTCATATGTGTGTGTTATACAATTGATTCTTTGGATTGTTTATTTAACATTTATTTATTTATTTAATATTGTACACTTTGGGACCCCATACATATGCATGCTCCAACACAGTCCCAGTATGGTTTATGGTTCTTGAAACAGCCCTGGATGATTTTGTATTTTGCTCTCAGGATGGAGAAGGTCTGTGCATTTTCCTCAAGAGCCACTAAAGTCCTTCTGACATGTAATCCAAGCCAAATAAGACAGACTGATTACTGAAACCTTCAACTGTTGCAGCACATGGAGAGACTGGAGAAGAAGGGGTCACTGAAAAAGGGCAAACTATGGTGGGCTAGTTCCTCTTTAGTTTCCTCAAACTGACTGCATGAATTATGGCATTGCGTGTGGTCAGTGTGGCAAAGGCAACAGAATCCTATAATAATAGATACCAACAGCCTGTCAGCACAATTAGACTTACTCTGGTGAGTGTTATGGCTTGGTAATGATGCGTAAAATGACACATGCTAACACACTGGTTCCCACAAGGAACCATGGTTTCATATTTTATGTCACTGTGGGCTTAACTCAGTGGTAGTGTTACAAGTGTGAAAATACTGTGCTGGATTAATGTGTTAAAATACCTTTTGGTTAAAGTTTTTTTGTTTTTGTTTTTTGGAATTCATATAATGCTGAAATAATTCTAATGGATATCCACAGGTCATATACATGTATCAAGATATGAAAAAGATTTTATCATTTATCATTTAGAATGATCATCAGAGGGGGAATCCATATGCTACAGCAGTACAATGCAGTTCAGCAAACATATAAAGAACTATTTAAAATAATTAATATATAACAAAGTAATCGGTTAAGAAAATGACATTACAATAGATGTATTTGCTACATGTGTAGAGATAATGAGTTTAGTAATGCAACTCTAGGCTTTATTGAGGTATATTGATGATTTTTGTAAGAGTAATATTATAGTATGTGTATATATAATTAATAAAAATAAATATAAATAAGGTTATAGTTCTGTAGGTATAATACAAAATACAAAGTGCATGAAATTACTCTGTATTGAGGAAGATAAACTTCCTGTCAAGACCTGCTTCACTATGCTCCCAGTCAAATTAAACTTGATGTAAATTAGCAGCAGTCTTTAACCTGCAGACTAACCTGTTTATGTTTATTCAGATCAGAAATGGCATCAACAAGTTCTGACCCAGTCCCAGTACCCAAGATCAGTTTCTAAGTGAACCGTTGTTCAAATGGAAAACACATTCCAGCTAACTGCTGCTAACCTCCAGTGAGTCGTTAGCGAGGAATGTTTGATGTGTGAAGGGAACCATATGTGCACGAGTGACATGTGGTGGTGAAAGAGGATAGACCACGTTAAGTTTTGGTGACCAGTTGAGTTTGAATAGAATGAAGAAAAGTTGTCTTCACCGAGCAACTCCAGTCATCGACTCTGTAGAGCCACTTATAATCAGTGTTATTGTGTTAATAGATACTTCACATCGTCTCAAACATGTTCTGTAATGATGAAAACCCACTTAAGTTCCTCATAAGTGATTGCTTCCTAACATGGTCCATAGTGAAAAGACAGAACTTGGCTGCAAGGAAACATTCAATGTTGAAAACATTAAGCCACCATTATGGAATATAGCTTTAATGTTTTATTCTGTTGGGAGTGGAGGATGAATAAAAAGGTTGAAAAACAAAATGCAATATTAAATGATAAATGCAGAAAACTACACTATAAAAGTACAGTAAGCTAAATTAAGAATTAGGTTGACCAAAGTAAGTAATTTTTTATTTATTTTTTAGTGTCTTAGTTTGCTTTACATTAAAGAAAAAGGCATTTACAGAAAGAGAAGATAATAACATTATATAATATATATAAAACAAAAGTTTAAATAAAGGTAATTTGCTGAAAGCTGCATAATGAACAAAAAACTGAAAAAGGTACCAGTTATACCATTCAATTATAGGAATGGGAAAAATATAATATTCCTCCCAGCTGAACAGTTAACATGGCTAATTTACAACATGTTATGGTCAGTTTCATGACTCAGACACTGAATAACATGCCTATTTACTCTACAAATCACCACTAGGATAAAGTCAGAATGTGAAAACGGGCCTCCCTTAAGACTGTCCTGAATTTTAGGTTGTGAAACCTTCTCCATGAAAAGACCTTTCCACAAGTCTTACACAAATTAACAGCACAACACATGATAATCTCTGAAGGTTCATCCTTCACATCTTAGAGGAATTAAAATGAAACTGAGACTCCTTCATTGCAAAGTTTGTTTTCTTAGGTGGTAGTTTGAGCAGAATCCAAGAACAAAAGAGAAACCATGTTCAACAGCAAATACAAAAGTACATAAAAAAGAGAATCTGCCTACCAACAACTGTAAAACTCACTCATTAACACCTTATACCACATGTCATTATTTAATCCCTACAGTCCAGTGCTAAGTAAAGCTAGTTTAGCTGCTGGCTGTAGCCTTTAAAAGGTATGAGTGCGGTATCGATCTCTGACTCTGTTGATCTTATCCTTTGAACAGCAGACCTTTCAACCTATTCAAGTTGTTAAGTGATATTTCTGCAGCTCCAGAAAGGGCCAGAAATGCTGATTGGATTCTGAACTTAAGTGTAACAAACTATATATAAAAAACATCAATCACACATGTTTAAATAATATTTAAATAAATATTCCTTAGTAACTAATAAGTATTGAGTATGAAACTGGTTACGGGACTGCAAGAAAACAGTATAAAATACTTAACCTCCATCTTCTAACCTCCATGCCTTTTGCGCCTCATACCATACAAGTTAGCACAGTGTTCTTTAAAAAAGGCAATAATTGAGATAAGGTCAAAGGTCAGAAGGATCTTCATCTTTACAACCAAGAGAAGAGCATGTCTCTGAGGATCTCAGGAGACGCTCATGATGATGTATGACTGACTATAGCAAGTCTGCAGATCTCTCCAGATGATGGCACACGTGTTCTCTTTGGTCACAGAGGCCTCTAACAGGAGATCAAACACAAGGTTCAACCTTTGAAAGTAGCAAAATGGTGTTCCAGGGTGAGACAGTAGGGAAGACGTGACTGATCTCCTCTGAAGTCAGAGGTCGGCATCTGACAAGGTAATAGAGGTGGAGCAGGTTTCCCTTGTCTTAGACACAAATGAGAGATGGTGGGTAGGTGAGATTTTGAGGGTCGATTTCAATTCAAATTGTTTTGTACCGAATACATTTAAGGCTATACTAATTGGGTTTGAAATGACATCTTCCCAATACTGCAAATTAATGCAGAAAGAGTTTCTTTCTCAACACACACTCACTGAGGATTGTGATAATCAGTGTCTGCAGGAGTTAAGTATACTGGCCACCCAAGAGACCATTATTTTACCCTTTTGATTCTTGATTGGGGTATTCAAACATTTTTCTTAACACGGTACTCCACCTATTTTACAAGTCTTTTTAGTAGTCATGGTTAGTAATATTCTGTCATCTGTCGAGTCCTAGAAAATGAATCATTTGGGCATCTTGGCTTGGGTTTGGAGTATTTTAGAGAAATCAGATGAAGCTATGAAGTTGTTTTATGGGAAATGTACTGTACTGTATTTCTGACCTGTTGGAATTAAAAGTCCTGACCTGTGCTGCTTCAACAAAAAGAAACTGAAACTCACTTACTCACACATACAAACAGCTTCCTTTTCAATAAATATGCTGCCATTTCTGTTCACTTTGCTGTCTCCACTGATGAAACATTTATTTTTCCACCTTCTTTTGTAATAAATGAGCTTCATCTGACATGCCATTGTATCTTTTGTAAAAAAAAAAAAATGCATGGACATTGAGGGGTTCCCTACTGTCTGTGCTATCATAATTATTTTTTCTTTTTTACTCAGACATAGTTAAAATGGTTATCTGTGGATAGTGTTTGTGGTCTTGTAGCTACAACTGACCGTGTTTTAGATTTACTTGAGCCAAATCCTGTACTATATCCCATATGACACAATCCCACTCAGTGTTTTCTGCTGTGTTTACACTTTGCTACTCAGAGGGGACCACGCAACCCACTGCTTTTACAAGCTGTCTATCTATAAAAATGAAGTGATGTGGTTTCCCACTCTGTTCTATTATTCTGCTCTTCTTCTTCCTCTCCCACCTGCCTCTGTTTGCTGGAACAGAGAGTGAGTCTCTGCCAGCAACGCACACAATTAAG